CTGTTTCAAAACATAAGGTAGAAAGTAATGGAGAAAGACTTGAAACATTAGCCTCAGGCCTCCACATGTGCATGCACAGGTACAGGCACCAGCACCGGCACACACATGCACACGTACACACATGCACATGCATATACTTGTGCACACATACAAACACACACACATGCACATGCATGTACATGCGCACACATACAAACACAAGCACACATGCACACACAAACACAGTTTGCAATTTAACTTTCCCCTACTGTTTTCTGTTTCATTCTTTATTATTTATTTTATTTTGAATTTAATTTACATTTACTATTCCTAGCTTCTCAGGATGAAAACTTAGGTTATTTCTGATATTCTGACATTTCTTTCTTAGTAAAAAAGAACTTAGAACTATGAATTCCCCTCAGACTCACATTTCCTTAGTTATCTATCATAGTTTTTGGTATATTGTGTAATTGGTATCATTTATTTAAAAAGGTTTTCCCCGCTTCCCTTGAAAGCTTACTTGCTTTTAATCTTTAGCATATTTATGAGAATGTTGTTTCACTTCCAAATACTTCAGCCTTCTGTAAGTGTCTTGTTAATTATCTGTGATTTAATTATCTGTCAAAACATGTCAACAGTGGAGACCACATGACAGTGAGTCTTGTAGGAGATTCTGTGAGCACTGGAAGGGATGTCTGTTATTCAGGAGACAGGCGTGGGCTTCTGTGGGTTAGGTTAATGTTGCTAGCTGAGGTCTGGCCAGTTCTGTACTTCCACTGTACTGTGGAGCCACATCTCAGGTGTGAGTGAGTGTAAGTACCCACAGGACCCCCAGGGAGGTGGAGTCACCAGGTAATGTCTGCTCCAGCACAGCACAGAGATCGAGTAGGGTAGCCTCATCCAAAGACCACAGGATAGACCTTTATGGGAAATTTGAAGAAACTCTTTTTTTTTGTCCTACAAGAATCGCAAAAACAAACTGGGCTCTGTTTTGTTCATTTTTAGTCCTGGTTCAGAGGTGAGGAAGAGAATATCAGTCCAAGAACACAATGGCCACAACCTTCTGCCCCTGTGGAGTCTCAGTTTTATCTGCATTTCCCTCAGGGTTAGAGCAAACTGCTTATGAGGAATTTAGAAAACAGATTAGCAGGCTGAAATTTGGACACATGTTAGCAGGGGTGTTCCTTCTGTAGATACAGGGGCCAAAGGGTGGGTTTGCTGGACCCTCACTTTGCCAACATCCTCATGCTGGGATGTTCTCGACTGAATTATAGGCTAACCCACACAGAGCACCATTGGGTCTCCGAGCGTCTCTACTGAATCACAGGACTTTGGCTGAGGGCAATTTCGATGAGGTCAAACTTACACTGATCCTAATAGCATGGAGCTTTGGGCTCCAGCATAGTTACAGATGCAATGCTACATGAAGCTTACACATGGGGTGGAGAGAACGTCCCAGACATTCTGAGCCTAATCGCTTCCCTGTAATTCTAGTTACTCTATTCATTCTTGGGGTGTAACTTGATTGGAATGGTCTGGTCCTGGTTTTCTTTAGATCTGAATCTCAGCTATAACCAACACCTCATAGTGCCTGTGCAATCAAAACCTAAATGAATGACAAACCCCAACAGTTAATTTCTTTCTAAATCATTCAGATTTCCACACAGTTCAAGGTATTTGGAAAGTTAAGAGAGCCAGAAGGAACAGAAGTTTGTATTTCTGAAAAAGGAGTAGCAAATAATCTTTGCTTTGTTACACTTTTGATTAGATATTTATATTAGAGGTATTATTTTCGATATCATTGAGAAAGTGTTCTGTGATAGCTAATTTTGTCAGTGATCCTAAGTGCACACATCACTTCACTGATGTTAATATATGGTTTCTTACATTTGCTGTATAAGTATGCATGTGCTTCAGTCCCTGAGAAACTCTAAGGTGATTCATACTAACAACAAAACAAACTGATCTACCTGTTGGTTCACACCATAAACACTGAGTGAACTGTGTGTGATGTGGGATTCCCCTCTGTATGTTGTGGTTACTATTGATTAATAAAGAAAACTGCTTTAAGTCTATAGCAAGGCAGAACAGAGCTAGGCGGGGAAAACTGAACTGAATCCTTGGAGAAAGAAGGCAGAGTCAGGAGGCACCATGTAGTCCACTGCTGGAGACAGATGCGATGGAACCTTGTTGGTAGGCCATGACCTTGTGGTGATGCACAGATTAGTGGAGATGGGTTTGTTTAGGATAAGAGCAAGCTAGAAATATGCTTAAGTTATTGGCCAAACAGTATTTCAAACAGTATGGCTTTGAGTGATTATTTCGGGAGTCTGGGTTGCCTGGGACAAACAAGCAGCCTCCTACAATGTGTGTGTCTGCGTTTCCCATCTTCTAACTGCTGAATCGGGCATCGCGTTTCTAGTGTATCTGTCTCCCAATCAACTCATGGGGTCCATGTAGAGGAACTGAGTGCTTCCCAGGTCGGCACTGTGACAGGCTGTGGGGTGTGTGCTGCTTCACACACGTGGAAATAGCTGCCCCCAGGACATGCGGTCAGAAACATACTAGCTGAACATTGAAGTGCTGTTTCTGAGAGTGACGAATGCCGTATGGGAAATGAAGTTAGGTGATGGGAGGGGACTCCTGACATCTGACTGAGGAACCCAGCATTCCTGAAGGAAAAAAAGAAGCGTTCCTGGGGCAGGATGCATTCCGTGCAATGAGGCGTCCAACAGAGATTAAGTGGATTCATCCATTCAACCTCGAGGAGCTCCTGAGGGGCCCCAACCTTTGTTGTAGAGCCTGACATATCTGAATGATGTGGGAGAATTGTCTGTATTCTGTCAATCATATTTTAATAAAACGCTGATTGGCCAGGCAGGCAGTATAGGCGGGAAAATCAGACAGGAAGTAGAGGTGATGCAATGAGAACAGGAGAATTCTGGGAAGCAGAGAAGTTCCTCAGCCATTCCTGTACAGACCACCGAAGAGGCAACTTGTAAGCTGTTACACTGAGAAAGGTACTGAGCCCGTGTGGCTAACATAGATAAGGATAATGGGGTAACATAAGTTATAAGAGTTAACAAGAAGCCTGACCTAATGGGCCAATCAGTTTATAACTTATAGAGATCTCTGTGTGATTGGTTTTCTTTGGGGTTTGCCGACTTGTTGGGGTGCTGGGCGGGATAGATACCCCAACAAGCCGGCCCTCATGTTACATCTGAAGATGAAAGGAATAATAAGTTTTGTAACTTTTCAGCCTTCTGAAAAACGCCTGCGGTCATCCCTACCTCTTCATCTGGGTATTCTGGCTCCCCAAGGGAACGCTTCTCCAGATACTTGGCACCGCTGCCACACATTTTCCTCCCTGCTTTCCAAGAAGGACTCTGTGCATGCACGTCGACACCTGGCACTGGCTGACTGTCAGTTTGCTTGCTCACTAGACCCTCAGCCAAGTCCATTTAATGTCCACTCTTAAGTCTATGATTACTACCAGTTCAATTGACTTTGACCTCGGTGGTTGAATGCTGGCAACCCAAGGGATTCAGAGAACGGACCTTACAGACTGGGAGGATGGGCATTGTCTTCCATGGATTTACAGTTTGTGTTCAAGGCCCCCAAGATTCTGCTGTAGGAATTCTGGATGGTGGAAAGATCTGGAAGCTGCTGAGGCTCTTGGAGTTTCTGGGATGATTCCTTTGCAATGGTTTCAATTTGCTCAGTTGGTGGCATGTAGATAGATGTGGTGCTGGAGAAGGAGCTGAGAGTTCTCCATTCAGGTCCTCAGGCAGCAGGAATATATATATAGAGAGAGACTGGGTCTGACTTGAGCATTTGAAACCTCAAAGCCCACCCCCAGTGATGCACTTCTTCCAGCAGGGCCAAACCTACTCCAGCAAGGCCACACCTTCTAATAGTGCCACTCCCTCTGAACTTATGGGATCCATTTTCATCCAAACCACCACAGAGGAAGGGTGAAGAGCAAACGTAAGACTTGTGTCATGAGCATGGTACACTTCCTCCTCACTGGTCCCCTGCCTCCAAATGGCCTGGGAGGACCACTCAGTGGTACACCAGCCCATAGCTTATCCACTTCCTCCTCTCTGGTCCCCTGCCTCCAGATGGCTCGGGAGGACCACTCTGTGGTACACCAGCCCACAGCTCATCCACTTCCTCCTCACTGGTCCCCTGCCTCCAGATGGCCTGGAAGCACCACTCAGTGGTACACCAGCCCACAGCTCATCCACTTCCTCCTCACTGGTCCTCTGCCTCCAGATGGCCTGTAAAGACTGCTCAGGCACAACTCTTGGCCTTGTGGCTTTGCAGTCCCTGTAGATTCATTGATCATTTCTTGCCATGTCCTGTAGCCTTAGCCTGGAGATGGGTTGCCAAACACCTGAAGGTCTCATCTGTAGGTGGTCAGGTCTGCACTTCTAATGGAGAACAAGCCTTCTGAGCTTATGTGAACATTTTTTTCCTGTCATCTTGCACACTAGTTATTGGTTATTTTTTTCATTACTTAACTGAGTGTCAACCATCTCTCCACCTTCAAAGGGCAATGATCAGTCAGTATCTTTATGATACCCAACTGACCAAGTGACTGCTCACTGTAACCAGCCAGAACAAGAGCCAGTAGAGACCCTGGGAAATTAACGTTCACTAATGAGATGTTCAGGGAGCCACTTGCAGAACTCCACCAGGCCACACCCATCTACATCTGTGCCCTGACAGTGAAGCCCATTTCAACATACAGCATTAAAAAAGACCCCTTTCCAACCAGCCTCTACAGAACTCTTCAGGCACGTGCAGGCAGAGAGGTCTTTACCACAAACCTCCCAAGCAGAGTAATCCTGATTTCCTTTTTACAGAAGAGGAAATTGGTGAGGGAGAATTATCTGTATTCTGTCAATCATATTTTAATAAAATGCTGATTGGCCAGGCAGGCAGTATAGGCAGGAAAGCCAGACAAGAAGTAGAGGTGGAGCAAAGAGACTGGGAGTATTCTAGGAAGCTCCCTCTGCCAGTTCTGCCCAGACCACCGGAGAGAAAAGATGTAAGCTGTCCAGCTGAGAAAGGTACTGAGCCATATGGCTAACGTAGATAAGGATAATGGGGTAACATAAGTTATAAGAACTAATAAGTAGCCTGACCTAATGGGCCAATCAGTTTATAATCTTATGGAGTCCTGTCTGTGATTTTCTTTGGGGTTTGCTGGTTGTGGGGTACCGGGTGGGACAGAAACCCCAACAAGCCGGCCCTGCATGCTACAGAAAATGGCCACCGAGAGGGTCAATGACTCACCCAAGGTCACTGATTGGTAAAATAATAGGGCTTGGCTTAGAGCCTACACTTGGTTTGAGCCACCACATTGCATTACTGGTGTGTCAACACACTCCCACCCTCCCTTTCCCCAGACCTCATGAACCGAATGAGTTAATTCAAAGCACTCCAAAAAGTACCTGCAGTTCCTGGCAGGGAATGAGCACTTTGAAATCGACCTTCCGTTAATAGAAGGGATGGTGGGGAGAGTTGGCTCTTCGCCTGGCAGCTGGCTGTGCCACTAGGTATGTGACCTTGGGAAACGTTGTCTGTCCAACTTTTCATCTGCGCACAGCAGCAATACTGTCACTATCCCAGCATTGATATGGACGTTAATTGAGGTAATAGCTGCGCAACTCTGGGAACAGAACAAGGAAGTTTTTAGGTGCTGCCCTTGTTAGGATGTCTACAGGCTGGGGCTGGAGGGGCAGCACAATGGTTAGTGCTTCTACTGCTCTTGGAGAGTTTGGTTTCCACCACCCACGTCAGGTGGTTCACAAGCGTGACTCCAGCTTCAGAGACTCTTTACCTCTGGCCTCAGTTGGCACTATAATACACACACACACACACACACACACTGCACACATATACACAGATACACACACACACAGAGAAACACACACACAAAATTAAAGCTAAAAATTTTAAGATGCATTTGTATGGAATAGGGTAGACATGGATGTTGATGCTCTCAAAGGTTTATGTTTCAGGTCTGTTGTTTCTGTATGATGAAACATATACCTGAATGATGTAATCCTGAATGTCCTTCCTTGTAAAACAGAACTAAGATACATCTTGGAAGTTTTTATAGAATAAAATATGTTATTCAGTTTGGCTCTGTGTTCACTGATTCTGTATCTTTTATTCAACCTCCCATGGATCAGAAAGGTTTTTGTTTGTTTGTTTGTTTTAATTTTGCTTTGTTTTGTTTTAATTGTAGTCTGTCCTGGGCAAGGATGGGCTTTTAAACTTTTCCTGACATAGTTTCTGAACAATATGGATTACAGCTCTTTTCATAGCAGCTACATTGTATAAGGGGAGGATGAAAAGGAACCTGTGATACAAAGTCTGTGGAAGGCCGGCTGTAGGTCTTTGCTATAAGGGAAGTGAGCAACTGAAGGCGTGGTTATCTGCAGGGGGTCCTGGGACCAACCTTCCCATATCGAGGACCACTGTGTATGGACGCACAGAATCAGCAGAGCACACATGAGATCCTGTATCTTCTCCTTCCTCTGGACCATTTCTCCTTACAGTCTTACAGAGGCATGTGCTGACCTCTGATCCACAAACCTGCCTTACAAGTTACAATTTTGCCTAAACTCCCTGTTAAGTTGTTGTTGTTTTCATTGGTCTCTGTTCTGTTTCCATGTGATAATTCTGGCTCCAACTCTCTAGGACCTTCCAGAGTATTTTGGTAATTCTTGGAGATGCTTAATTACAGCAGCTGAATTTATAAAGGATCCAAGAAGACTTTCCCCAGGTGGAAGAGATTTCCCCAGGTGGGGGCATTGCTGCAGGGAGGGCTGCTAGTTCATTCCTGGCCACCCGGCTAGCTTTGACTCAAAATAACCACACAGAAACTGTATTCATTAAAACACTGCTTGGCCCATTAGCTCTAGCTCCTTATTGGCTAACTCTTATATTAATTTAACCCATTTCTATTAATCTGTGTATCACCACATGGCAGTGACTTACAAAGTTCCCACATGTCTGACTCTGGCGGCTCCCTGACTCTGTCCTTCTTTCTCCCAGCATTCAGTCCAGTCCTCCCTGCCTATCTAAGTTCTGCCCTATCAACAGGCCAAGGCAGTTTCTTTATTCATTAATGGTAATCACAGCACACAGAGGGGACTCCCACCTCAGGTATGAGGGGGTATCATGGGTCTGCATGCGTGCATCTGACTCTCTCAGATGGACTGCCTGGACACTGGCCTTCTCACAGTCCACCCTGGACATTCTGACCCTGACTGGCAGCACCTGTCAGTGGGGTTTATCTAGTCCCAGTCTCTCTCTTGGTTTTTTACTTTGGGTTATAAAAGCAAGAAGGGGTAAGCATAAAGAACTATTTTTTTTATCCCTTCATACACTTAGTATATGTCACGATGTGTGTTATTTATACAAGGATCACATTCATCTTATTTTTCATTCTCATGTAGCTACCGGACTATCAATTCATATTGGGTTTGTGTAACATGAAATGAACAGCCCATTTAACCTTTACACTGAGACGTGTGTGGAAGGTGAGCTCCCCAGACCTGGAAGAACTCCCTGTCTTCAGGTGTCTCTAAGAGTCAGGGGGAGTTCGCATGCTCAACCTGTGGTCAGTGCAGAGATGATTTAGAGCCAGTCACCCCAATCCCCATACCTAGGCATCACTTTGTGTAGAACACAGTCCCTTGGTTCCTTCCCTGACTGGAGTTCACACCCTCCATCTCTGTGCATTTCCGCCTCCCTCAGCTTTCTGCTTGACCCTCTGCCTGGTACCTGGCCTGTCGCCTTTCAGAGATGCCCATGGTGTTCAGGACAGAGAACCAAGGAGTGGAATTTTTCAACAGAAGTATGTAAAGAAGAATGACTTCTTGTAGCTGTCTAACCTATAGCCTCAGCTCCTGTATGACTTCCTCGCTGTGCACCAAATCTACTCGCTGTGTCCTTTGCACACTTCATCCCCCCTCCTTCAGGAACAGAGAAAGATGATTAAGTCTTGGTACTTGACACAGGTTTGCTGTGTGAATAAAAGAGAGACTAAATGAGCAAATTATATCTGAATAGGTCAACGTGCACACTTCAGAAGCAATTGCTTTTCTACGTCTGTGGCATAGAAGAATCAGTGGTTTCCAGAATACCTTACTAACTTGAGATTTTAAGGAAGATGTCCCATCGTACTTAATTCTTGGGCTAAAGAAGACAAGGAGCTTCATGTGGCTCAAAGGGAAGGGAGATGCAGATACTTGAGCAGGAAAGGGAACGACTAAAGAGAAGCCCAACCCAGTAGAGTCGGCACGGACATCTGTCTGTCTGTCCCGACTTGACCACGCCAAAGTGCCAATTCCCAGTTCCCAAATAAGTCCACAAGGACAGATGTTTATATTGCTGCCACCGGGGCTTCCCTGCAGGAATAACCAGCTCCAACATCTCCTTCACACTTTCTTCCATTCTAGCTCAGCCTCTGTGTCAGACTAAGCATTAAGGCTGCATTTTTGGGTGGATGAAGGATACCCAAGTTATATAGTCTACAGCCCCAGCTTGCTAAAAAATGCACCTTCGTGAGGATTGAAAATGGGCATCCCTGTGGCAGACATACAGTTAAGAGGGTGGGGATGGGGTTAATACTGGCTAGAATAGTGTCCTATGTCAGTTCTGGTTCTGTCAGGAACTGGGCCACACTCACACTGAATCACCGAGGTGAGGGGAAGAGGAAGCTCCGATTGCAGAGATGTGACAGTATTTTGAGAAATCCATGAGGAATATAGTAACCCGAGGCCAGAAACAATGAGGGATCATCCCAGCCCCCCACAGCCAAGATACGGATGGAGACAACTCTCTTGAGTCCCAGGAGGAACTGAGCTGTGGGAGCTGTGTCTTTCAGTAGAAGGAGTCTATCGATAGCCACCTGGAAGGAAGGGGGCCTAGAAAATGAACACACTCTCTTTCAATCCCCTACCAGTGTCCCCTGACTGTGGGTTCCAGCTGGGAACTGGAGGCTAAGGGACATAATGAATGCAGGTCAGAGGACCGGGATACAGAGGTGGGGTGGATTTGGAAAGGCCATTGGTGAAATCTGGTAGCGGTGCCCCTTTCTCCAGGCAAATGTGCTCCCGGCAGCCACTCCTGGAAGGGCAATGTCACCCTCACTCATTCCTCCTGAGCCAGGGTCTCTCTGTAGGGCAAGACCTGTGCCTTATGTGGGCAGCACTCAGAGCCCTGAGGATGATACCTCCTTTTTATGCCAAGGATCTCAAGTTACAAAATCAATAGAAAAAGACATCATTCCAAGCAAACATCTCTACAAATATGTTTCTATTCTCCTTCCAATTTGGCTTGGTTTCCTCAAAGAAGTTCTCTCTTTCCTTAGAACGTGGTGTGGCCATGACCTGGTCACCTGAGGCAGAGATGGGCATTCCTGCCAACCTCAATCTCCTTGGCTTCCACAATCAAACAAATGGTACTGACAGGCTGGTTCCCTGGAGATCCATCACCTCCTCCTCATCCTGACTACACGGTCAAGTCATCGGCACTTCTCCCTGGATCGGCCCATGCGGTCCCAGATCTGGCCCTCTGCTGCTGTGCTCATCCACCTCCTCTTGATCTGCCGCTCTCCCTCCAGAATCAGATGCTCCTTCTAAACCAAGAGTACCACTCCATCACTCCATGTCCTTTTGGGGCTTCAACCAGTGCATCCGTCTGCCTAACAGCTCTTCAGGGTGACGCTCCGCAGACCACCATGACAGCTTCATCTTTTATTATGTCAGGCCACACTCCTGGCGCTCCCTAATGGGGGCCTTCTGCTCCAGCTGCCTGCACACCTGTGCCCAGGCTGTTCTCTGCCTGATTGCTCAATCACACCAGGCCTCTAGGGAAGCATCTCTGGAGAAAGTACCTCTTCCTTTTCCTCTGCAGGCTAACTCAGCCTCATTGTTTATGTTTTCTACACCCCAGGGGCCCTTTGTGAGCCTCTTTATCACACCGATAACTGTTTTCTCATTTGTCATCTTCATGACCCTTCAGGTGCTTTTGCCCAGGCCTTGCCAGGTTCTGCCTAGCATCAGTGTCTTAGTTGGGGTTTCTATTGCTGTGAAGAGACACCATGACCATGGCAACTCTTATAAAGGAAGACATTTAATTGTGGTGACTCACTTACAGCTCAGAGGGTCAGTCCATTATCATCATGGTGGGACACGGCAGCGTGCAGGCAGACATGGTGCTGGAGAAGTAGCTGAGAGTTCTACATCTTGATCCGCAGGCAGGAGGAGTCTGTGTCCACACTGGGTGTATCTTGAGCATAAGAGACCTCAATGTCCACCCCCACAGTGACACACTTCCTCCAACAAGGCCACGCCTCCTAATAGTGCAACTCACTGTGGGCTCATGGGGGCCACTTCCATCAAAACCGCCACAACCAGGTATAAATGTTCAACAACTTTATGTGACAAGGAGGTCTCTCTATAGCACTGGGAGAAACTTGCTGCCTCAACGCCAATTGATCACGGATAGAGAAAGTTTAAGAATGGTCAGACATAACCTTCAGGAAATAAAAAGGAGATGCCAAACATGTAACAACTAGTACCGGTTTTTGTTCTCCTAGCCCCCCCCCCCCCCCCCGGTTAACTATTCTACCTATAGGCATGGCTGGGCCAAATACTCTTTTTTTACTCCTAGCCCTCACTGTAGGACCCTGTTTGTTTAGCTGCCTACTCTTCTATGTAAAGCAAAAGATAAATGGTTAAACTTCTAATGCTAAGAGGACAATAAAGTCCTTGCCCCCAGATGAATCTCCAGTTTGACTCACGCCCATAGAACCAGCATGACTAAAACAGGTCCCCAGAACTTAGCACAGCTGACACCATGAGGGATGTGCCATTCAGGCCATGAACCTAGCATGTGGGCCGCACCACCTGCCAAAAGAAAAACAAAACCTACCTCATCCAGCAAAGTCAATATTTCTGGGAAAGTCTCTAAATGTGCTAGCCTTGTTTTTTGGCTTCTGTACTTCTGATTCTGACTAACTGTTCTTGCTAACTGAGGGGTGTCAATACAGAATATGGGTTTGTGCTTAGCATCTCACCCTGAGAAAGGCTCAGGACTACACTGAGATCCCCCAATACCCATTATAGCCTCTGGCTAATAAAGACTTTCGATTGACTTGGACCTGTGTCTTTTCTGGTAGAAACCCCACAACAGAAGCTAAGAGGCTCCTTCTGTTGCTGCAATGTGTCTGACATAAGCAACTGTATTAGTAAGGGTTCTCTTGAGGGACAGACCGTGGACTCATCTGGGGCTGGGGGTTATAATATCTTCTTAGCATTAGGAGTTTAGCAGGATTCATTCTCTGTCGTAGGTAGAGAAGCAGGCCCTTGAGCAAGCAGGGTTCCATAGAGAGTGCTAGGAGCGAGGACAATTGGCCCAGCTGTGGCCATAAGCACAGTAGTTAACGTGAGCGGGGTGACAGGAGAACTAAGATTGGCCCAATTCTTGGGTTTTTAAAATTTCATTTCATATTCTAATAACAGTTCTCCCTCTCAACCCTCCTTCCATACCCCCTTGTCTCCCCCAAACCCCGCCTTTCCACTCCTCCCAAAGGGTAAGCTCTCCCATGGAAAGTCAACCTAGCTTGCAACATTAAGTTGAGGCTGTATCAAGCTCCTCCCTGCTGCATCAAGGCTGAGCATGGCATCCCACCATAGGGAATTGGCTCCAGGGATAGATCCTGGTTCCATTGCCAGGAGCCCCTCAGACAGACCAAGCTACACAACTGTCTCCCACATACGTAGGTTCCGCTGCTGTTGGTCTAGAGTTCATGAGCTCTCACGAGCTTGTTTCAGTTGCAGTTGTTGGATTTTTGACACCTCTTCTTTTTCCTGAAGGCTATTAGGATGGTTTTTAAGCTGTGGTTCAGCTACTCCAACAATGACTGACTACCAACAGAAGGTCCAAGAATCCAGTAGTTCTTCACTCCACAAGTGTAAGGAGAGGGCCCGCTTGTTTGTCCTGGCCGCCTGGCTAGCTGACACCCGAAATAACCACAGAGAAACTGTATTAATTAAAACACTGCTTGACCATTAGCCCTGATTTTTTTATTGGCTAACTCTTATATCTTGATTTAGCCCATTTCTATTAATCTGTGTATTGCCACTTGGCTGTGGCTTACCGGCAAGATTCTAATCGGTGTCTGTCTGAGGCAGAGGATCCATGGCTTCTTCCTGACTCTGCTTTCTTCCTCCTAGCATTCATTTCTGTCTTTCCCGCCTACTTAAGTTACACTCTATCAACTAGGCCAAGGCAGTTTCTTTATTCATTAACCGATGAAAGCAACACACAAACAGAAGGACCTCCCACACCACACAAGGATGGATGTTTCAGTTGGGTTTTATTACACTATACTGGAATCCCAAAGAAGTAGGCTGTAATGCCAGCAAAGAATGAACTCCCAAGTGAGAGCCAACAGGCAAAGAGAGACTCAGCTTCCTTCTTCCTTGTCCCTTATACAGGCTGACAGCAGAAGGTGTGGTCCTGATTAAAGGTGGTCCTTCCTGCCTCAGCTCTGGATTAAAGATTATCCCCACTTCCAATTGCTTAATTAAGAAAAATCCTTCACAGGTGTATCCAACTGTTTGGGTTTTAGTTAATTCCAGATGTAGTTAAATTAACAACCAAGATTCACTATCCCAGCAACTTCAAGAGGACAGATCATTATGGTCAGTTTGGTCCACAGCTCCTGGCTGTGTGTTCTGCACCACGGTGGAACAGTACACCATGTCCAAGATGTGTGGCAGAAGAAAGTAGCTCACCTACTGGTGACTGGGCAGGAGAGAAAGAGCCAAGAAGAGGCAGGGTACAAGATAGCTCTTGAAAGGCAACCCTGGCGACCAGCTTACTCCACTCAGACTCCACTTCCTAACAGTCACTCCGGCTGTGCACTCATCGATGCATCACTTCACCGTGAAGCTGGCAGTGTCAGATTCAGTTGCATCTCAATAGAACCATGAGTTGGGAGCCGAGCATTACTGTGTGTTTTGGGAGGCATTGTTCCATCCTGAAATCCTAACAACAGCCAGCATTGCTATCATCTCTGGTTTGCAGATGAGCACATCAGAATATCTCAGTTGTGAATTCTCCCAGTCCCTCTTCTTGTTCAGCCACTGTATCATCAGATCACTCTATGCAGGTTTGCTGAGCTCCACTCAGGGACAGCTGAGTAGTCCTGGCTCTGGCCCGCACTCCAGCCTCCTGCCCTGGGATGTCTCTGATACCTCATGTGCAGACTGGGGGCATCCGCTGGAAGCTACATACACACAATTTAGAAACAGGCCAACAGATAATGTTTTGCACTGTCACCTGAAACCCTTTGTGAGGCATCCTCTAAAGCCCAATAGTCTGTCACCTTAGTGATGGCCAGCTGACCTGTGGACCTTTGCAAGACTCTTCTATCCCCATTTCACTTCTCTTCCCAACTCCCACTCCAGAGGAGTTCTTCCCGTATGCATGACCTGCACACGGTCTTCATTCCAGAGAACCCAGATCAAACTCACAAGAGATTATTTGTTAAACAAATACAAGGTTTGAAATAGAACACTAGAATTGATAGTCAGAGTCTCTGCCCCCAGATTCCATGTGATTTTCCTCATCTTCATCGACTTGAAGGATTCAATAGTCTCTAAGAGCAGAGACTTGGGAAGATAAACAACTAATTCCAAAAGGCCAGCGTCACATCAAACCTAGAAGGTCTGCCTTTGAAACACGCTGGAAAGTGATAAAAATCCATAGGCCAAACCCTCGGGATATCCAGGAGGCAATTCCACGAGCAGAGGGTCATTCCCTAACATACATGACACAGTGTAGGCTCTTCTGCTTCTCATACCACCGTCATCTCCTTAGCACTTAGCACAACATAAAAGTAAATATTTATAGCTATTTATTTTTCATCTATCTCCTACAAGAGCAGGGGCCCTGCCATTTTTGTTCATAGACATCTGAACACAGTATTCTCAATACTTAACATAGTCCCTAGGATATAAGTGGCAATCACTGAATTTGTCAATCTAGAAAAAGTCTTAGTTGTTAGGTTAAAAGCTTTGTTCTTAAGTAATGGGAGACTTAGTGGTACTAAAGGTAAAGTGAATCATATAAAAGAAGCCATACAGGGAAGAATACCTATTCAAAGAAAGTCTGCTGTTGGGGTGTACAGGCTGTATTTATTTGAAAGGTAGGGAGGTGTTGGAAGAGGGCCACTTGGTCGTTCCGGCTGCTTGGCCCCAAAATAATCACACAGAAACCACATTATTTAAATCACTGCTTAGCCCATTAGTTATAGTTTCTTATTGGCTAACTCTTGCATCTTAATTTAACCCATCTCCATTAATCTGTGCATCGCCACGAGGTCGTGGCCTACTGGCAAAGTTTAAGCACATCTGTCTCTGGCAGCGACTCCATGCCTTCTCTCTGTCTCCACCTCTTTTCTCCCAGCATTCAGTTTAGTTTTCCCCACCTATCTAAGTTCTTTTGCCCTATCACAGGCCAAGACAGTTTCTTTATTAACCAACGGTATTCACAGCATACTGAGGGGAATTCCACATCAGGGAGGGAGGAAGATAGCAGGGAAAATTATTTAATATTAAGGCCAGACAATTGTTATGGCTCCAATCTTTGCACTGAATGAGAGCATTGCCTCTGTCTGATAACTGGTTATATTGCTTAGGTTCTCCAGGTCTGCTAGTGCCTGAACTAGACATGCTTTCTCTCTGTGTTTGCTTGTATATTGTCTGTGTTAGAATACCTGTAGTCATTGACACCAGATGCAAATGTGAAGTTAGGTGTTGACAGATAGTTGTCTGAGTCTCAACCCATTAGCTGTACTCCTGGATCTGTCTACCTCTGGAAATCTGTTTAAGAGCTTGCTGCTTTTCCTTCTGTTCTCACTAGAATTCCAACACTGTTACTGTCAGACTTCAGGTCCTTAGGAACAGGAGAAAAACTTCTCATTCGTTTGCCCAAACAAATATAGTGGAAGAGTGGATTGAACACAAACATCTGATTGACTGTGAACTCTGAGCTGTTCATATGGTGTGTGTGTGTGTGTGTGTGTGTGTGTGTGTGTGTGTGCATGTGCTTTAGTAAGTGCTTGTGCATGTGTGTGTGCCTTCATGTTTATGTGTGCATGCATGGGCATGTTTACAACTGTGTGTGAGAGTGTGTGTGTATGTGTGTGCACATGCTAATGTGTGTGTGTACCTAAGCATGTATGTGTATTGAGCGCAGTCTATCCTTGGATTACTGATCTTGCCTTAGTTTTACAGTGCTGAGTTGACAGGCAGATGCTCCTATACTCAGTCTCAGACATATCACTGATTCTCTAGTGATGGGGAGATTAATTCCTTAAATTCATCCCTATTTTCTCAACCCTGGTACCTCGATGCATGTATATTAAACAATGAAAGACCTGGTTCTATACAGTCCTCCCTTAGCCCAGCTTTTAAAAATAAACACATTACACTACTCAGCATCTCCTAGACTGTTTCTCTGCTCTTTGCAGAAGCCCAGTGAGAAGCAGACAGCCACCTGTTCCTACTCCTGGTCTCATGACATTTCAGGGACCAGTGAAACTCACCTTCAACACTGGCTATTTTTAGTGTCTCTGCATTTATATTTAGAAGGGGAGATTGCTCATACCTCTGGGAGCATCATTCTTGTAATTTTTGCTGGATCACAGAGAGGCCACGAGGAGAGAAAATTAGTAGCACATGTAACTCCACATTTATTTCTTGGAGCCAGTGACCCGGCACAGGTATATGTGCCAAACATACAAGGACAAAGCAGGAGGCCTGGATGACCTTCAGCTGCTTAGACCAGGCCATTCGCTGGCGGATGCACTCATTGCTGGACTCGGTGGAGAACCCTAAAACAGGGCATGTAGGAAACTATGGAGGTCAAGCCAGATGCCGTTAAGAACTGAAATAAAATTGCCCCAATTCTGCAGCCTGTCACACATTTCTCCCCCTTTTTATTCCCACAGAACATGCTTTCATACATTCAATTTTTAAAACAGTGACATTTACATATATTAAGATACAATCCCAAAGGAAGAATTTAATCAAACATAAAATATGAAAAGGACTTTTATTTCTAATATATAAGAACTGCTGAAGTATTCA